TATGTTGGGTTAAATAAAATGCATTATTATTATTTTTTAAATTTTTTATTATTTTTGTGTGAGTGTACCGTCAAGTCAGATCTGTTTGTTGTGCTTCATTTACATTAACTGAGTTAATTCTTACAGAAAATTATAAAATAGGCGCTACTGTTATTTCCCACTTATTGTGGAAATTGAAGCATAAATACTTACTCATTACTGTGAACACTGCTTGAAATTAACTTTAGGTAATGTTTGGTCATTACTTTTAATATGTTAAAATGAAGTTACCTTTAATTTTATACACAATCCTTTAGTTCGTATTTGATTTCTTTTTTTGCCGTTTGGCACTGATTATTAGGCACTAGAGATAGTTTTTTAGATCTTCTCTCTTTCATGTCAGATTAGTTTTAATGAAAGATTCATATTGCTGAATTTTTCTTGTAAAATAAAGAACAAAATAACTACAAAACAGTATTCCAGACCAAAAATGTAAACTAGATTAGAGGTAATAATAGTTAGTTTCTCTTTCAGTGGCTACAAACAATTAAAAGATAACTACTAAAAGAGAATAGATTTTTAAGATATTTTAAAATGATATACATATTCTTACAGTGGAAGATTTGTAGATTTTGTGACATTTTAATCTAGTGTCATAAGAGTATCTTGAGGAAAGGGCAACATTTTTCAAAACATTTTCTGTGTTTGAGTTAGATCTGCATGGTGCTCATAAGTAGTGCACATGGTTAATTTGCCAGGCTGCTGTCTGAAAGATTGATGGTTTGAGTCTGACCACAAACACCTGCAAGAAAGACCTGGTGATTTACTTCCAAAAAGACATGACAAGCCCTGTGCCGCACAGCTCTGCTCTGACGTGTGTAGGTTTGCCACAGTCAGTGCTGACTAGAGGAGAGCTAGTTTTGGTTTGGATGAGTGGATTTGACCCTCTTAAATTTTATTTCTGCTAACATTTTACATGTATTCTTTCCTGTTTATGAGATAAGTATTCATAACCTGAAGATGTTAAGTATTAAAAATGGTGCCTGTGAAACACTTTCTCCTAGATACTGGCAGTATATTTTGTGCAAGTATGAAACAATATTTGTTTTCATTTATAAAGGTTCTGTTATTTGAAGTTGTTGTTCTTGTGCACTGTTGTTGGTGCCGACCCTTCAGGGGTTTCAGAGGTAGTAAATTGTAAGGAGGAAGGTTGCAGGACTAAATTTACAATGCTAAAATATTTGCCAGTTCTTTTTTTTTTTGAAGAATAATAGAACATTTCATGACTTGATATATCATCCTTGCTCAGGGGCACTGATAATCTTCACTGTATCATTCCAGTTTTAGTATATGTGCTGCCAAAGCGGGCACTGTGTGTCAGTTCTTTTGAATTATCATTGTGCATTGTGAAGTAAAGGGATTAAATGTTTCTTAAGAAAATTAAGTGTAGATTTCAGAGTTTATAATCTTAATTTTTATAATTGGTATTGAAATGTTATTCGCTACACATTTTTGGTTTATGTTCACGTTTTGGCTTTAAAAGAAGCTAGTGCTCAAGAATAATTTTTTTGGGGTGGGGGTACTTTTCATATTTTTAAATAGGATGCAGGACAAAAAAGATTTGGAGCCGTTTCCTGTAATATTTGTGGAATGCTTTATACAGCTTCAAATCCAGAAGATGAAACACAGCACCTCCTCTTCCACAACCAGTTTATAAGTGCTGTGAAATATGTGGTAAGTGAAATTCATACCTTCCAAATGCCATGTTTAAATCATTGAAAAGTTTCTCTTTTTTAGGAGCAGTAGAGTATAATATACAAAGCCCATGTAGTATATATATGCTGGCCTGTTTTAAAAACAAAGCCAAATAGAAAAACCAGATAATTTAAGTTTATTTTGGCTGATTTGTGTTGTGGGATTTTTAATTTAACTTATATTCTTAAAATAGTTATTAAGAAGTAATAAAATAGTTAAAATAATTATGAATAGTTAAATAAAATTATTAAGCAGTAATAAAATTCCGTTTAAGTGCTTTTTTTCTTACTTTCTGAGTTTTTAATAATTATTAAGTCCTATTGACCTTTTTTAATACCCTGTCCTTGGTACAACTTGGTATTTTGGAATTAATAGGGATAAATATTTCCCGAATAAGTGGTTTTGGAATTTCTTTTCTTTTTCTCTGTCCTGAATTTATCTCTTTGAGATTAGGAAGATAAATTTTTTTAATTTATGTTTTTTTTTTTTTTT